TAATTCTGTCAGAAGCAGTTATATCATAACGTTATCCTGCAGAGCGAACTTTGGCTAGCACCAGTGATTGTAAATAAAATATAAACAGTTGTTATAGACAATATTTCTAGAATATGTGTTTAATTTCCGGAGCTTTTCAGTCTACGGTCTACGTCATATTTGTACAAAGAATTATGAACTTTGAGTACAAGTTGTTGATTGCATTATATATATTTCATCATTGTCGCTCAGTTTCCGTCATTCGGGGGTGATCAGTTAAATTAAGTTAAATAATAAGTATCAAATTCAAAGGGTAATGTTTTAATAATAGCTTAACCTTCATTGTGGTCGTGAGCACGGTCTTTATCTCTTTCTGTTGGTATTTTGATACGTTACCGGAAGGGGAAGAAGGCCGTGCTTGGGACTCTTATGTAATTACGTATACAATGCAAGGAGTTGTTATTGCCTGTACAGTACTGTATTGCTGTTTAAGTGTTTGCATTTGGTATAACCTTCTAAAACTGCTAATTAAGGTCGACTCGTGTCGCTTCGAGTCACTAAGTCTGGCCCTCATAGTACTTGGTAAGACTTAGATTGCGTTGCATTGCATAGCAGTTGTTGAGGTTATTTTGGCACATTAATTAGTACCTCTTTCGCACATTCACAAGTCTAACTGCGTGTTCATAGTTTTTCTTCTCTTCACGTTGGTAGTGGTTTCCATTACGTTACCGTGGGGAGCTGAGATCTATGATCATGTAGTTGGATAGACTCTAGAGGTAATGCGTTGGTGTGTAGCTATTTGCTGGCTTGAGTTGCTCAAAGCCATTGCGTTGCATTAGTTTTATTTAGCTTGGGTTTGCTTCAAATCTTTGCATTGCATTTTTGTGTTTATAAAGTTTTGGTATTGCAACTTGCTGATAACGCCTGATCACCTTCGATTGATATAACTTCTTGTGGTAGGAGCATCTAAGCCTTAACCTACCATAAGTGAGCGGCCAATACACGCCAGCCTTATATAAATACTTAATGATCAATTATTTGATATATCGTGTCATGTGAATTTTATATAAGCAGATGCGTCGTGAAATAAAAACTGAGAATGTTGTATGTTCTTTATTATTTTTTTGAATAGTCTTAAATAACATACTGCTTCAAAATCATTACTTGTATTCATAATATTATTTACAAACTGAACCTTACAACTTATTAAACTTTGTATTTGACTTCAATACATCAGAAATTACTAAAGAAATGGCAGTAATAAATATGCAACCATATTTACAAATTCTTGATTTTACTTGAATGAAATATTCTGAAGCATGCAAGCCTTTTAACCTTTTTGCCTGCCAGTGGCACCATGCGACCCAGATCAGACTGCATGGTTTAACACTGTTTACTACATAATCAGTCAGTTATAGTTTTTGAAATTTTCTCTAAAAATGTCCAGATTGAAAGATATATAGCATGGTAAGGGTCAAAGAATATAATTGAGCCGCGTCACGACAAAACCAACGTAATGTGTTTCCGACCAGCATGGATCCAGACCAGCCTGCGCCTCCGTGCAGTCTGATCAGGGTCCATGCTGTTCACTATCAGTTTCTCTCCTTGTTATAGGGTTTGTAAGCGAACAGCATGGATCCTGATCAGACTTTGCTGGTCGCAAACCCATTATGTTGGTTTTGTTGTGACGCAGCTCAATTATGTATTTTGAAAGTATTGAAATAATGCTCAACATTTAAAAAGCATCAATTTTGGAAACCTTACAGTCAGTAGATAGATCTTATAAAGTCATTAATTTTTCTTCTGTCTAATAATACTGAATTAAATTCTACATATCACACTTTCCTGACATTTGATCAATCAATACAGTATTCTCTTGGTGATTTTTTTTTTCAAAACTAATAGATAGTAATTACAAAACAAAATATCTAGAATTTTTTGGCACTCCTCATCAAATATGGTTGTCTACACGCAAAACATCCAGACTTTGTTGTCTGTCTTTATTCTCCCCAAGTGATTTTAGTAATTTAGTTACATGACACAAAATTATTTACAGTTTACTGTACCGGTAAGTAAATGTGAATGTTTAATTGTGCCAAGCATTGAATTTACCTCCAATATTCAAGAAACAAGGCATCACTCAAAAATTAGTCCTCATTTTGATCACTTGTAGTCCACTTGTCCACTTGTATAAAAGATTATTTTGAAAATCATTTTAATATTTGAGGGGGATATTAGCGTGGAAGTTCCCTTCAAATTTTAAGAATGAGAAAAAAGATTCAACTATATTCAACTGAAATTGAAAGAGAGTGATTTCACCCCTTGATATATTGTAGGACTAAAGTTTGTTTTATTGAAAACATTAAATGGTAGTTGTACGACTGATAGTGTTGATTATAGATTGAAATGTTGTTGCTGTATAAATTTATAATATTTAAATCATTAAGAATTTAAGTCAAATGTTAATCGCATTACATGACAGTCAGTTTGAAGTTTATTTTTTTCTAAATTCTCGAATCTTTTGAAGTTTTCATTCAAGAAACCAGTCTGAGGCCATTTGAGATTTGGATAGAATGAAATCAGCTTTCAGAATAAAACATTTATTTTTTCCTCCATTCTGAAGAAGTTATTGTTTATAAGATTGATTGTCTGCAAGATAAAGCAACATTGACAGAGCTGGGGATGAATGAATTCAATTTCCTTGAGTGGAAATTCTAAATTTTCTAAATTGAATTTTGTGCGTGGGATAGTTACATCTAAATGTTGCAAATGGTTTTTGCTTTTAAATGATATTTTTCTCTATCTTTATGCTAAATATTTGGTGTACTTTAGATAAACAGTTTGATTATATAGTTTAGAAGGCATTTCGTCCGACTTTGAACTTGCTGTTAAGTAGAAAGAATTTTGACAAATATTTCATGATGTACATGAAGTATTCTGATATAATATTTAATTGTGTAACAAGCATCCTGTAATGTTATCTTAGATTAACTTTTAGTACCAACAAAAGGTGACAACAATAATTTGGTCTAATTTAACTTTAATTTTTAACAAGTCAAAACCAAATTGTACATAATTCACTATTGAGATCCTTTACAGTAGAACTTTGAGGAGTTGATTTTCTCTTTTATATTTGAGACCTTATATTATCTATGAGTTGAAGTCCCTATCTGTTGAAGTTTTTACACAAGTCCTTTCAAATGATGACTTTTTCATCAAAATTAATGTAAAAGAAAAATGTACTGTTTCATTTTCTTTTTTAGGTAACAAATTAGTTAGTTTGGGCATTTAATAACTGTTAAAAATCTCATGAAGTTTAACACAAAGTACAGTATTTGTGTTGAAGAGATGGAACTCTTGTATAGTTTCAGTCCAAAAAAATTAACCCCCTGAGTGTATATGAGTAATTGTACTTTTGGCTGAAAGTTGGGAACATCAAACATGTTTTGTTTTCTGCCAGACAGTAATAAACGAAACATCAAATACTGTGCCATGTTATCTATCTATACAAGTAATTATGTCTTTTCTCTGTCAACTTTCATTTCTTTTCTCATCTACTTTATCAAATTGCCCAGCACTTTTACTGTTTTATGTGTAATATTGCAGTATATTGTCAATGGAATTCAGACAATTTTCTGCATCAATTTTCTCTCTAAAAATGCATCTGTATCAAGTGAAGCCGGCAAAAGTTGGCCAATTTGTGAAATTGGTCACACAAAGTAGTGTCTATGTAATTTTTTTGGACAGACTTATTGACTGGTAGTCTATCATTATGACAGACTTATTGACTGGTAGTCTATCATTATTGAATTATATGTCAGCAAAGGCTACATGGCTCAATGCCAATATTACAGTAGAAAATAGCCAATACAAAACAATATTTCACATTAAAATCTATCCCCTTTAAAGGAGACTCCATTAATTTTTTTTTTACCATGACAGGACTGAAAATAATTTTTCGGGATATTATGTTCAATTTGTTGTAGATCTCGACCAGTAACTTTGTGCAAACTTTCTGATGATTCGCACAATCCATTTTTGCCAGAATAATTACTGTAATTGTGAAAAAAGACCCAAAATTCAAAAGCGTAGCAAAGCTTTCCACTCAAATCGGCTATGAATTGCACAAACATACAATTTTCAATTTATTGCTTAATTGCTTTTTTGCATATCTTTCCATTTTAAGTGCCCCAGCTCCTCTATGTTAAGAATTTCAAATTTAATTTGGACCTCAGTGGAGTTCCTTTAAGAGAAGTTAAAAAAAATTCTTTAAATTAATATTGATTTTTTTCTCATGCTTTAAAAAAAAGATTTTAAAACGTGTCATCAACTTGTACTGTTTGTGAAAGTAAATACTTTCCATATAAATGAAAATATATTTTCTAATACTCTAAAATCTTATTGAGTTAAAATGTTTATGTAAAAGAAAGACATTATTGTATCTAGCGGTAAACCTTACATCTTACAAATAAAACCTAGTATTTTATTAAAATCGATAAAATAAGTAATGTTATTTACAGAAAAGTACCAGTACATGTTATTTATACTTAATGAGAATCAACGGTATACTAAATTTCATCAGTAAGATATAGTATCAATGTGGTAATATATTGTAAAGGATATTGAGCAATAGGTTGCAGTTTCATCTTTTATACCCCTATAATTTGGCTTTATGGTATAAAACCAGACAAATAAATAATTTAGATGTCAGCAAATCAATAATTTCAATTCATCTATAAAGTAACAAAAAAAAAAAAAAAATTATGGCAGTAAACCAGCAGAAACTCTTATAATAAACATGTTACATCTATTTTAAACAAACACCATTTTATCCGTTACCATGCTAAATATCTTAATTATTAACATAGACAAAATTATTCATAACTTTTATACAACATTTTGAGCGAATAGCGAACAGTATAGACCAAGGTCAGATTTAACACAGATGTGCTTATAAAGCTTGGTCTGCACTGGTCACACGGGTATATTCAGTTTCTGCAAGCAGGGTAAGATCAAGTTACCTTAAGAGCATCTGATTCCTTTCTATCCATGACCTCTAGAAGTAGAGCAGCTATCATGTTAAAGCCCTGACAATAACCGACCACCTTGTTCCACCTGGCATACGCCAACAATATCCTCTTAAGTAACGCCCTCTCCTCCTCGTTCTCTTCTCCACTAAAACCACTACAGCCTGTTCTATGTAGATCCTTTAATATGTAAGATTATATAACATTAATTATGTTTAATTAAAGGAACTCCACTGAGGTCAAAAGGCCTAAAAACATAAAATTTGAGAATCTTACAAATATCAAGTGAAGCACTTAAAATGGAAAACTTTCCAAAGGATAACAAAGAAATATATTCAGAATTTAATTGAAAAATCGATTTTTGTGCAAAATAAGCCGTATAAGAGTGAAAAGTGTTGTAATGTTTTGTTACTTTTGGGTCTTTTTTCATAATAAAAATGATTATTTTAAAAATACGGGGTGAGTGAATGACCTGATAATTTGCAAAAATATTTCCAGTCCTGTCATGTCAAAAATCTCAGTGGAGTCCCTTTAAGTTGAATCTGTGTAAAATGCCCAGTTTAATGAACTTGTAAACTAGGTTTGCAATATTATACAATACAAACGTCTACGACCAACATTGACCATGAATATAAAATCTTTTCAGTGGACAAAACATAAAAAAGTTCTTATTTCAGTGGACCCACAAATATCATACATGTTTTGACCAAAAAGATATCATTTCTTGAACATGCTATTTCTTTATAAGTTTTGCTGGTAAAAAAAACTTCTTACATATAAAAGTTTCTTAAGAATCTGATTTCTTATTTATTTGATAATTGGTGGATGGAGTACCTCAAAAAGACTCCTGGATTTACAGAATAAATATACATATGAAACTATGATCACTATATGAACACCTGTATAAATATTGGAACATTTAAACTTTGTAATTATTAATATATTAACATTTCATATCAATAATCATATAAATGACTTTTATCATACAAACTGTAAGTTATGAAAGTTGCATGCTCCAGATAGCCAAAATATTTCAACAAAATCAAACCTGAGAAAAATGTACTAAGATTTTAGGAAAAGTAAAAAGATTCAAGATTTAAGTAATCATTTATAGGTTATGTGAGATTAACAACTAATTTTTCACTATTTATAACCATATTTCTACTGTGTTACAAAACGCAGTAAAGGTTATTTTGAATTTTTTGACCACATTCTGGTAATTTAAGTGGGTTAAGAGTGCTCTTTGTAATGTCTTAATTGCTTTCTTTTGGTTCCTTCACAATATTTTACTTCTAAATATATTTTTAAAGATTTGATGAAATTTTACATGAATCTGGAGGCGTGCTGCTTTAAGGCATTGCTACCCCACTAATGTAATTACAAAGCAAAGTACATTACACCATTACTTTTTTTCTCAGGTTAACATTTAAATCTTCAAGTTTTTGAACCAACAATTTCAATTAAACTTTCAACGAGACCATCTCATAAACCTTATACTATGCAATTAACAAAACTGCTTCAAGACTCAAGTCAATCCTTACAGGAAATTTAGATGGCAAAAATCAGTAAAATCAATTACTAAATAGTTGGGGATTTTTTTTCTTCTACAACATAAAAACTGTCAGTGTTTGGTTAAACATTTTTTTACAATAAATATTAAAAATTTCACTAACATTTTCTTTTAATATTCTTGTTAAACTAATGAAAGATGGATGTACGTTTTATAACTTAAATGATGTAAAAGTAATAAAGTTTGCATTCAATTTTTCACAGTTACATAGATTCCAGTGAGTATGTAGACTGCTGCACAAATGCACTATTAGAATAGTATAACCATTCTTTATATGATTTTTTATTTTTACTTTATTTCAGAAAAAAAATAGTTTAATGAAGAAATGACATATTAATCAGTACATAAATGTATTTAATATTATAGTAAGCCTGGACATTTTAATAATTCAGTTCTTGCTGTAATATGTCAAGTCTCTATAAATAGATCTCAATTCTTACAATATTTACCTCCCCTGCAAGCCATATTAGGGGTCAATATTCTATATGATATCATTAACAAAATTTGAAGAAATTAAAATGAGCCAGGTCATCCAGTACATCCAAACAGTCAAACAAAATAATTTACAATGCTGGACTAATTTATACCATTTTTACTAATTTCATCCTTCCAAGTAAAAAGCAGGGAAAGTTTTGATGTTAAAATTTCTATTTACTGAAAATTGATGAAAAAAAACCCAGACTGTTTCCTAATAATGTTAAAAACAAAACTTAATACAATTGAGCCGCGTCATGACAAAACCAACATAGTGGGTTTGCCACCAGAATGGATCCAGACCAGCCTGTGCATCCGCGCAGTCTGATCAGGATCCATGCTGTTCGCTATCAGTTTCTCTACTTGTAATAGTTGGCAAGCGAACAGCATGGATCCTGATCAGACTGCGCGGATGCGCAGACTGGTCTGGATCCATGCTGGTCGCAAACGCATTATGTTGGTTCTGTCATGACGCAGCTCAATTAAAACTGCTTTCCATCAATTCTATGAACTAATCATATTTCAAAAAAAATATAAATTAACCTAATGCTCCAGAGAGGACCTGCAATTAAAACTGTTTTGAAAAAGAGGGAAAAAATTGGAAAAAGTAAAACAAAATTCAAGCTTAATAAGTTTTAAGGAATTTTATTCTCTGAAGAGAAAAATTCTTTCATCTTAAGTTTGAAATTAACAAAAGTACATGTAATAGTAAAAACCTCTTTATATAAAAAGCAACACTCAAACATAATCACTTAAATTCATACACTCTTTTTAAAGTTGTGCACTATGTTATTCATGTTTACAAAACCTTTTTGAACTTATCATATTTTCCTCTGTATTTGTATAGCAGTTGACATTTAATGTTCTAATAAAGGTAACATTAGTATCCTTCTGTCTATCATAAAGCAAATTATCAGTAAAAACATGGTGGTATCTTTATATAAAATGAAGTTTCATCAATTTATAAATGGATACCGCATTTGTGGCAAATATCTTAAGTCAAGGACTTTACTTTCAGCATCGAACACCTACACAAGCAACCACATGACATCGTGTGTTTTCATACCTCAGCATGATTTATTTCAATGATTCTATAACAATTCATTGATTTCTAACATTTCTCTTTCAAAACCTTTCATACTTTTTTGCTTTCATTGCTTTTTAAAGGAGACAATTTAAAACTGACCTAAACTGTTATTGGAAATAATTTTTTGTTTCATTTCATGTTCAGATTAATTTGTACTGAGAGACTTTTTGAATTTTACAGTTGGAATAAGAAAACATGCATTATTTCAGACACAATCAAGTTCATAGGTAGAGCCACTGACATTCTGTAAGCTTGTTCGGAAGCTTTTAAAAATATCAAGATAATTCATGACAATATGTTTAATGTGTTTCCAACCCAATCTGTCAACGGGCAAAAAGTTGAGACAACAGCCTTGACCGTGTGACCACAATTAATTTGTTGTTTTTTTTTCTCTAAGTTACAGCCACAATATCTAACAATATCTATATACCTGGTATATATTTTTACAACTGAAAGGAGACCTCAGGTGTTCATCTTCTTTAAAGCCATGAGGAGAACCACTAAACATTTTAATCAGCTTCAAGACAAATCTTCATAATATGAATGAATATGAATGAATTCATAGTTACTGTGGAAATTTCAAACCACAGCTGTCAGGGGCAAATGATTCAGGGTGAGCTACCTTAATCAACACCCATAAACTGAAAGCCACATTAACAATTTAGTTCATACTAATTCATTTTAGTTTGATTGTTTTGGAAGCTAAAAGCTTATTAAAACACTCTCGAACTTGTTCATGGAAAAACTGAGCAATGAGTGTAAAGTTTCTTGGACACAATGGCTTGCCTCTGATGGGGTTTGAACCGATGTGGCCAGCAATCCTTAGATTACTAGTCTATAAATTCATTCATATGCAGAAGATTTCTCTTGAAGCTGATTAAAAAGCTGATTAAAAAGCGTTAACCATTCGGCCACATTAACAATTTGTTTTCAAATATAATATAATGAACTGTCTCTCCAACTCTGCAAGGTAACCTTTATTCCCTTTTCTACCCGTTTTTCAATTCAAGAATAATTTGTTGTTTGCAATTAACCTGTTAAAAATGATAATGGCCTTTTTGAATATTATTATGTCTGTATTGTAAATATTATTGGAATCAATGGTACTATAAACAACCTTAACTGTCAGTGCTTATCAATTATTCAAAAACAAGTAATTTAGTTATTCCTACACATACCATTGTCTGGAGGTGATAGGAATCTATGTTTTTCTCAGAATAAAATATTAACACTTAATTATTTCAACATCTAAACTTTAAAGGCAAAGAATATTAATATTTATTGTATAAAATTATCTCCATGAAAGAGAAAATAATTAGAACTTTATATTTTTCATTGTGAAATGCTTAAAAATTAATCAATATATAGCAAGGCATTGCATGACTAAATCTAATAACTGGGAAAATGAGTTTGTTTAATGTCTAAATGCAATTGTTTTATTAAAATGATGGTTTTAATAGTTTTTGCTTTCCACATAATGAATGTAAAAACGCCTTTAATTCATTTAATCATTTCGGAATAAGTCATAAAAACTGCATCAAAAAACATTTTTAAAACTATAGCCTTTCTCTGCTTTAAGGGTACAATTTCATCATTAATTAAGAAACATTTAAAACAATTATTTTCCATAGCTTAATTAGCTAGCACAAACTCTAAATATGGGGTTTATTGTTTTCTACCAAGTTTAGCTTTGGTTGTTTGGCGTAATGTGGTTCAACTCTCTAAATCCCTGTGGTGATAACGACTGCCTATACCATCAGTTTAGAACCAAGTTGGAAAGCTCTTAATGAATGCGATCAGACTCTGTATAGCTAGATGCTTTATTCTGTACACCAAAATGCTTTATTTTATTATCTGGTATATAAATACCTTTGATTTATAGGCATAACACATATCAGTGTTTTTTGTCCCTGCTTTGGGAATGTTGCCGGTACCGGACAGATTGGGGAAAAAAATCCATTGATTTGACTCAAATTGGGAATTTTACATAAAATGCAAAATATTCATTGGGAATTTCTTTTATCCAGGGAAACATGAAAATTATGCATAATATACACTTTAAAACCATGTATTATTAACTTTAATGATTATTTTTGCTACTTGAGGTTGAAAAAAAAGAAGATAATCATTACAATTGTGCATAAATAATGTTTAGGTGTGAAACACTAAAAGTAATGTGGTTATACTTGGTTTTTATTGTATATCACTTATCAATGGCATTACTGTTTTTGTTTACCTTTAAAGTTGCTGATTTTTGAGGAAATTACATGTATCTGTGATATTTTGGGAATTTATCAGTCATGAATTAAGAAATTTGCTGTCTATTTTCTATTGGGAATTGTGCCGTTTTCCGGTATCAGTTATATAAGGGGGAAAAAAACACTGCATATTAAACATGGTAAAGGTAAGAGGAAATGGAAAATAGTTAAATAAACTAAGTTACAGATGATAAAAGTGATGTTTTGTAATTTCTGTTATCTTAAGCTGAATGGCAGTTACCTTAACAAATGGTAGATCAAGTTTGTTATCATTTATACATTGACAATAAGTAGACCAAAGTTGTTATCAGTTATACCTCAACAATCTATATAGCAAATTTGTTATCAATTTCACTTTACCAAGTTTATTATCAATTTCACTTTACCAAGTTTATTATCAATTTCACTTTACCAAGTTTATTATCAATCTCACTTTACCAAGTTTGTTATCAATTTCACTTTACCAGTTTGTTATCAATCTCACTTTACCAAGTTTGTTATCAATTACACTAACAATTTGTATAACAAATTACAACTATAACAATGGTAGAAAGATCCAGTGTATCATTCAGTTATACCTTGACAATTTGTAGACCAAGTTTGTTGTCATCTGGGTTACTTCTCTCATTGAAAGCAAACCTCACTGTCTTATCCCAGTCAATCTTCATGTCCTTTATATGTTGCTCTGCTAAACCCAACCATACCTGAAATCATACAATCTGGTTATAAGGTCATAATTCCATAAATGTTGTTTATTATATACTTATAAATGAAATATTGAGAAATATTGATGAAATAAAATGGATATTTTCACTTTCTGTATTTTCACTGTAAAAATTTATTTTTCACTGCAGTGAAACATATTTTCTGTATTTTCACTGGTGTCTTGCCGGACTACTTTCTTTAAATTCTGCCAGTACACAGAATTTAAGGGAAAGTGTTTCAAATTTTAATGTCAAAAAAGAGAAAAATGTATATAATAAACAGAAAATTCAAGTTTTTTCTATAAATACACAATTTATTTTCATCTTGTGGCATGAAAATTACCATATTTCACTTGTGGCTACCGCCACTCATGAAATATTTATTTTCATACCACTCGATGAAAATAAATCATGTATTTATAGAAAAAACTTGAATATCCTCTATATAGTTGTATAATTTAAATGAAGGGCTGCCTGACTTTGCTCAATTTCTTTTAATTAAAAATACTGCTGTAAAAAGTGACATGTAATTTCACATTCCAATTTCAACGACCTATTTTAAATGTAATATGTAATGTATTTTTCTGGTATTTGCACAAGATCATTTCAAATTTAAAAACTAACCTTTACATCACTTCCAAGTACCTATTTAAGTAAAAATTTAATGCTGAAGAAATAGAGGACATTTAGCCCTTAATATATTACTTACAAGATATGTATATTTAATAAGCAAATTTTGAATTCTTGATGAGAAAAAAATTATCTAAAGCACTTTTAGTTAATATTTCATCTGGTGCAATTTTACTTCTGTCATAGACAGAATAACAAAGAATGTCATATTTAAACAATGGTTTTCACTAGAGCCCCCAACAGGCCAGCCTTATCTTTGTTTCCTCTCACACAACCCATGCCTGTTTGGGTAAGGTTAAGCCAGGTAGGTAAAATATATTTTCTATCTAAAATATTTTTTTACTGAACATATAATTTATATGGATTTCATAAATTTTTCTTAAGAAATAGTGAATGCTAAGGAACTTTTCAAAGTTATTTGTAACATACATCCAAGTTTGTATAATTACAATGCAAAAACTTTTGAAATTCTCATTGACAGCCAATAAATTTTTGGGGTAGAAGTGATTTTGGTAAGTAGGTAGTGGAAGGGGAAACAAATAATATTCTAATTTAGGTCTCATCCCGATTTTACTATCAAACATACTATTTGTTTCTTTATTTAATACTATAATTAAATTCATTATCATTTGTCTGCCCACAAAGCCAAAGGAGATCATGGGATTTGTAATCCTGACAGGGGTCACTAGTTTGATCCTTGGGTGATGCAAAAATTCTCAGAGGCAATTGACCTCAGACATTTAATCATATTAGATATTTGTCTCTGGCCACTGATAAAGAAATCATGTGGGATTAGTAGTTGGTCATTTGTGGAAATATTGGTAATTACTGTTTAGTTATCTAGGACAGCCTGTTAGGTGGACCGACTATCTAAATGTGATTTAAAATGGTCAAATCTGCATTAAACCAGCCAAACAAACTACAAGTTCATTATCATAAATATAAACCTTTTTCCTGAATTCTGCAGGGATCCCTAGTGGTAACCTAGCAACAGCTTTCATGGCATCCTTCCACTGCTCGAAGGCACTGTCCCCACCTGATGGTTCCACAGAAAACCTCATTCTTGTATCAATACCTGAAGATAAATCAACAATAACAAATAAGACATAGCTGTAACATCATCAAAGAGAAAGAAATAAGCTTTATTTCTATGCTATCAAAATGTAATTAGCAAAATACAGAAATATGTTCTCATAAATATCATTTTATGGAAAGGCAAATCAAGAGAAAAGACTTAATAGATTTATTGATCTCTATATATATTTACTTGATAAGAGATCGAATATTTAAACCCAGCTATAACTTGCTACATAGAACCAAGCAAGCCTGCACAATCAAATAATTCTGGTTGCTTCATTTTTGCTCACATTAATAACAAAGGATCCAATTAGGTAATAGTTAACCCTATCCATACTCTATGATAACAAGGAAAATTTTCAAAGTGTGCAGCAAACAATGCACACTATGATGCTGATCTTGGATTGTACTGGTTACACAAGTTAAGAATTAATCAGTTCAAGGGAAAATAAGTAAGATAAACTGCAATTGATAAATCAATATAAAACTTTTTACAAATTCTGCAGCAGAGAGATTTTACACAAAATACAATTCTTTGATAATATAAAATCCAAAATATAAGTGTAAAATAGAAATTTCTTTTAAATTATGTTTAATACAGCTATTAATTCATGATATACCAGGAATTTGTATTAACAAGAACTGTCGGAGGACAGTAACGCTCGACTATTCGAAAATTTGTCACAAGGGTGTTTCATTGAGTAAAATAATGCTTACCTATATGAATACATAAAATTGTCCGAAAAGGTACAAACTCTTCAAGTTTCAATACATTCCCTTCAGTAGTTATGGAGAGACAAGCTTACATGCAAAAACTTTACCAAGAATTCATGAGTCGAAAAAGGGGCATAATTATGCAAAAAAAGCAAATCAGAGTTATGGGACTTGTGCCAATCATCTTAGATAATCACAGAGAACAAGTGTGTGAAGTTTCAATCAATTCCCTTCAGTAGTTATGGAGATACCAGCTTACATACAAAACTTAACCAAGAATTTCTAAGTCGAAAAAGGGGCATAATTATGAAAAAAAGCAAATCAGAGTTATGGGACTTGTGCCAATCATCTTAGATAATCACAGAGACCAAGTGTGTGAAGTTTTTCAATCCATTCCCTTCAGTAGTTTATGGAGATACCAGCTTACATGCAAAAACTTAACCAAGAATTTCTAAGTCGAAAAAGGGGCATAATTATGTAAAAAAGCAAATCAGAGTTATGGGACTTGTGGCAATTATCTTAAATAATCACAGAGAACAAGTGTGTGAAGTTTCAATCCATTCCCTTCAGTAGTTATGGAGATACCAGCTTACACGCAAAAAACTTAACCAAGAATTTCTAAGTCGAAAAAGGGGCATAATTATGTAAAAAAGCAAATCAGAGTTATGGGACTTGTGCCAATCATCTTAGATAATTACAGAGAACAAGTGTGTGAAGTTTCAATCAATTCCCTTCAGTAGTTATGGAGATAACAGCTTACATACAAAAACTTAACCAAGAATTTCTAAGTCGAAAAAGGGGCATAATTATAAAAAAAAGCAAATCAGAGTTATGGGACTTGTGCCAATCATCTTAGATAATCACAGAGAACAAGTGTGTGAAGTTTCAATCCATTCCCTTCAGTAGTTATGGAGATACCAGCTTACATACAAAAACTTAACCACAGGGACGCCGACGCCGACGCCGACGCCGACAAATGGGTGACTGCATTAGCTCGATTATTCTGCGAATAGTCGAGCTAAAAATGTGTATAAAGATCAACAAACAAATGAGAAATTTTGATTAGCTCACCATTTATATTGTTTATATTATAACTTTGCCCTTTGGTGGCAAACAAAGTACTGAAACATGCCCATCTAGCCTAGCAATAAAATATCTATTTGGAATGATTGATTCAATTCATACCAGACAGTAAGAAAACACTTCTTTATTCCCTCACAGCACATTTTCTTGAAAACAGCACTAACAAACATTTTCTTTTGAACATTTTACAATTTTCCCCATTTATTATTGAACTATGAAATGTAAAATTTCAAGTAATCAATAACCAAGTTTATTTGAGAGATGGCCCTATGCAAAAACATACCAATGCACATACCCAGTAATAAATACATGAGCATAATATTTTCTTGTATTAGGAGTGTATTTATTAGGGATGTCATCTGGAGCCGAAACGGTCATCTGGATATCCGAATCAAACATCCAGATACATCGTTGTTATATTCTTAGTTGGCTGATATGACGTAACCATATTTTCGCGACCTTTTTCAAAGTGTAATATTTCGTTTTACTTCTTTTTTAATTGAATGTTTCGTGTCAAAATTTTTTCGTTTTTGATTTTATTATTTCTATATAGAATATGACTGTTATCGATAAATTTACTGCATATGGTAGATTCTACTTATGTTTAAAATGAAATGAAATTCACCGCCGATTGTCTCAACTCCTAAATTAGTGCTACACAATAACACTCGCTCACATTTGTGAAAACAATATAACACCCGTAAAATATAAATATGTTTCTATTGTTCAATAACACGCATACAATTTACACACGATGACCTTTGACAGGTGTGTAGCCGGCCTTTCAAAAGAATCTGCCAATCTTTGATGTTTACCAGCATGTAGTCCTGGCTGTTTGATTCGAATCATCAAAGAAGTTGCCGAAACTTACACGAATTACACGCATTTTAAGTGTTCATAAGTAAAAAAAAACTGTGAAAAAAATGTTTTTAAAAAATGCACATGTTTGATTAACACTACAGTAAAGGAGAAAGTTATTTTGTCGGATAATTATCATATCAATTTGAATACAAGCTGTGATAATTAACATATTATTATTCGTAAGTGCATTTCTTGATCTGATTAATTTATTTCTACAGATTTTTCATTTTCTCAAAATAAGGAGTCGACGGGTCGGTAAGCCGAAATATATATTAAAAGCCATATTAAATATTTAAATTTGGACATGAGAAATGTAACATCATTGCCGATGACAATCGCGCGGGACTTAGAATCGTTGCCGATGACAATCGCATGGGACTTAGAATATTCATCTTAAATCCTACAAAACATAATTTGTTTGGTGTTTAATATATATTAACATGTGTAATTATTGATTTTTTGTGGTCCGCAGAGATTATGATGTGTATTGTCAAACTAAGGTACAATATACAATATGGTGTCAACACCATGTCTATGTCGATTATTTCAACACATGTTTTTTTATCACATTTTTTCAATATTCTAAAATATTTTTTGCGAACATTCGAATCCGAAAATCAGCTCCGGACACCGAATCGTGATCCGAACGTTCGGATATCCGGAATCCGAATGACATCCCTAGTATTTATAAAGGAATCTGGGCAAGAAATATTTGGTAATCCTTTTTTTTTTATTGACTTTCATCAGCCAAATTTGTTTTCTTTTATTTCTTTTTTACTGTTCCTTTCTGGGTGGTTGCCAGGCCAACAACTGACAACACTATGGCTAAATGTTTTACAGATACAATTAAGTGGTCCTTTGTGCTTTAATTTAAACACAAGCAAGCACTTTAAGACACCAATAATATCTTCTTAAATTTCTCTAAGGACTTAGGCATATCTAAAAATAACCTGCATCTATAACAATTTATGTGAAAATAATATATCTGGACTAAGCATCCCCTAGTAAATTTCAGATAATATTTCAGCATAATTATATACATTTTGTATTTCACATTGACTTGTCAGCTTGTGATGCTAGTATATAATCTATATTGTACTAATTTCTGTTTTCCCCCAAATAAATAAATATTGCGTCATTATAAATTCATTTGTTTATACAAGCTGACAACAATTTATACATGACCATTATAACCTCGACTTAAATTAATTATACTTGTATATATAAATGTATCCAAATGACTGGCTCACTATCTTATGCTTCAAAGCCATTACCTTCACATAAAAAACAAAACGGAATAGGCATAGTTATAGTAAAGGACATCCATTTTCAATTGTTTAGGTGTATGTGTGGACACTAATTACTTCTCCTGATTAAACCTCTTTCACCAGAGGCTCCAAAAATCAATGTTTGTGATGCTGTCAAGCTCTATCATCATTTCATGCCATACCTCACTGTCATGGAAAATGTTAATACTAAAATGAGCTTTTACTTTTGTGTGATTAAGCCAGAAGTTTAGCTTTCCCTCACACACAATCGCTAAATCAATCTTCCATCTTCATACAGTACATGATAATCAATATCCTGATACCAAGAGCATTAAACCCCTTTTAACAGTTATCAACAACGAATTTGGAATTTCTCTAGCATCAACTGGCACTGATCAATATCCCCAAAATTTTGTTTAAATCTAAATCAGCAAGCCTGAATCACTGCTGAACAAAATATAACATAATGATGATCACCACCACATCATCATCATTATCATCATCATCATTATTATCATCACATTATTGTCATCATCATCATCATCATAATCATCATCTTCACCTTTATTATCTACATCATCATCATTTGGATAAAGTTCACCATAACTATTATAGCAATTCTTCAAAATTAATAAGAACCATTCCACAACCATTCATTATGACTTAGCTTATGAACATAATTATTTTATTTAAGCTTGATTTAAAGAGATATGGATGCAAACTTGAACCACTTTACCAGTCTTGAACTATAACTATTGATGGTATCACAATGTACAAACATGTTGTAACACTGGTAGGTCTCAAACTTATGATCCCTGGCTTGAAAGGCAGATACTTTAACCAATATTAATAGGCCATCGCACCCTTTATTATAACTTGATGGCAAATCATGTGGGATGGCAGGTTAACAATCTATCTAATATTAGACCTGACACAGAATGACGAAATGAAGGCTTGGTTACTAAAAATAGATTTTCTTTAAGATTTATAAAATGTTATAGAATGTTATATCTATAGGGGGTTAATTTAAACCAAACAGTACCTATAGTGGGTCTAATAATTTCAGCTGCTT